TTGACTTTCATTTTAAGGGCAGGAAAAAAACACACACAAAAAAAAATGTCATTTCATTTTTCAAAATATCTTTGCTTGGGTTCATAAGAAGGTCATATAGGTTCGAAATGACTAGAGAGTACATTATTGATGATTGAATTGTCTTTTTTGTTGTTGTTGAACAATCCCGTTAACTGTGTTCAGCGGGGTCACACTTATTTTAATTTTGACTCATTACGAGTTCAATCTAATGCCATTTTCTCCTCGCATTCAGTGACTCAAAGGCTGTCGGCTGTAATGTGGAGAGCACAGATCATGCATCCTGTGGTTTTGATGTCATCCAACAGCAGATCACCTACAACACCACATTACTTGTGACAAATAGTTTGGGGCAAGAGAGTGAGACCTACGTATTCAATATCACAGACAGAGGTGAATATGGTTCATTTTACGTGAAGACTAAATTCATAGCAGCTTTGAAGGATCATATACCTCAGTGATGTGGAATAGTTTTAAGATCTGGGATAGATCATAAACAAAAGGTTGTAAGTTGAAATCCTATATGAACTATCACCATTATACCCTAGATCAAGATTCTTTAAATCAGGGACATTGTCCTTATAAAAAGTGCAATGCAAGTTGCTTTAAATAATCGTGTTGTCCACAACATGAAAATGAATAATGACTAAATACATAAGTTAACAATCCATTTAATTTCTCATCCATTTGATCTCACCTCAGTTTTTCCAGTCCCTGAGCATCCTGAAGTGACAGCAGGCGTGTTTGATTCATTGGTGATCTTGCAGCTGAATGGGTGTTTCAAAGGACTTTTGCTGATTTGCCAGATTGAACTTGAACCAGAAGGGATAAAACAGGTAATGCATCACATTAAAGGTTTAGTTCAGCCAAAAATGAAAATTTGCTGACAGTTTAACCCTCAGGCCATCCAAGATGTAGATGAGTTTGTTGTTCATCGTAACAGATTTGGAGAAATGTAGTATTTTATCACTTGCTCACCAGTGGATCCTCTGCAGTGAATGGGTGCCGTCAGCATGAGAGTCCAAACAGCTGATAAAGACATCACAATAATCCAGTCCATCAATTAGTGTCAACAGTGAAAAGCTGTGTGTTTGTAAGAAACAAATCCCTCATTAAGAAGTTTTTAACTGTGGTTTCTGGATAAAATATGAGGCCTCTATCCATAATACTGGTTTCTCCAGTGAAAATGTCATCTTCTCTGAATCAGGAGAGAAATATGCACAGATCAAGCACAGTCAAATGGTTCAAAACGGTTCAAATATGGATTATGAACTCGTATTTTGGCCAGAAGCAACAGTTTAAAGTGCCTTAACGATGGATTTGTTTCTTACAAACATGCAGTTTTTCACTTCACAAAATGTTAACTGATGGACTGGAGTGGTGTGGATTACTGGCGGCACCCATTCACTGCAGAGGATCTATTAGTGAGCAAGTAATGTAATGATAAATGTATCCAAATCTATTAAGATGAAAAAACAAATGCATTGACATCTTGGATGGCCTGACGGTGGGTAAATTTTCAGCAAAACCCTCTTTCTTTAAGGTGGTTTTCCTGTTGCATAACATGTTTTTGTATTTCCAAATAATGTGATGGCATCAGAAATATGACAAGAGGGAGTTTCATAAGCTTGATTAACAGTGTGAAATCTCTCATCAAAAGACTTGCCATATCAGATAAACAAAATGAACCTTACAGAAGTGCTGGAGCACATCCTGTGTTCAAGTGTTGTTGTTGTCTTACAGGTTTTAGATCAGAATGGATCTGACTCAATGCAGTATTACGCATTCAAACTACAGCACCTGAAGCCCAGCACGGAGTACTCCATTAGAGGGCGCTGTGCAGTACAGGGGAACGACTGGGGCCGATGGACAACACAAAGACTATTCATCACAGGTAAGCAAAGGGTCGTGGGAGAATTCACAATAAACACTCAGAAGACCACAGCAAGAAAATGCAAAAATATAGATACTATATATAAATCAGTTTTTCTTCTTTTTTTCTGCAGAGCCTCTAGTGACCATAGATCTGTGGAGACAAATCAGGGACCATCCCAATCGCACCGTCACACTGCTGTGGAAAACAGTAAGTTTACGTTTTTGACATTCTTCAAACTTATAATTTTCGCCATACATTGTGGTACAGTTATTGTTATTGACTCTGTATGGTTTTGTTTGGCTAAGAAAAATAATCAATGTACAAAATCAGTGTGTTCATGCATTACTATGGTGTTAGCAAACCTCAGCACTCTAGGGGGCGATAGTCTTATTATTCAGGTAGCAACTTTTTCATTTATAATTAAGTTATGAACAGATTTCAAATGAAATGTTTTGCCTTTTTTTAAACATAAATTGATTGAAATCAGAGCAAATATTTTTGTGCTACCACTAAGGGTGTGCGATATCACAATTTTTGATTAAAATGTCTCCACAATCTGCTTTTGAAGAAATATCATCGTATCGTGCTACAGCACACATTCTATCAGTTGCAGTTTTGGCGCCTCCATCTCAATATACTGTACAAAGTGATGTACATTCACATCAAATATTAAGTCATGGGACACTGCATTTATTCGCAATCACAAAAGTACATTATTTGCATGTGCTTTAAAGCCTTGTAGGTTAAACATTTCATTCGCGTGCTGTTCTGACATGCACTTTTTCTGAGCACGGCGTACACCCGAATAGTGCTAAATGTGTATATATACACACTGTGTATGTATATATATATATATATATATATATATATATATATATACAGTGGGTACGGAAAGTATTCAGACCCCCTTAAATTTTTCACTCTTTGTTATATTGCAGCCATTTGCTAAAATCATTTAAGTTATTTTTTTTTCCTCAATGTGCACACAGCACCCCATATTGACAGAAAAACACAGAATTGTTGACATTTTTGCAGATTAAAAAAGAAAAACTGAAATATCACATGGTCCTAAGTATTCAGACCCTTTGCTGTGACACTCATATATTTAACTCAGGTGCTGTCCATTTCTTCTGATCATCCTTGAGATGGTTCTACACCTTCATTTGAGTCCAGCTGTGTTTGATTATACTGATTGGACTTGATTAGGAAAGCCACACACCTGGCTATATAAGACCTTACAGCTCACAGTGCAAGTCAGAGCAAATGAGAATCATGAGGTCAAAGGAACTGCCTGAAGAGCTCAGAGACAGAATTGTGGCAAGGCACAGATCTGGCCAAGGTTACAAAAAAATTTCTGCTGCACTTAAGGTTCCCAAGAGCACAGTGGCCTCCATTCCTTAAATGGAAGACGTTTGGGATGACCAGAACCCTTCCTAGAGCTGGCCGTCTGGCCAAACTGAGCTATCGGGGGAGAAGAGCCTTGGTGAGAGAGGTAAAGAAGAACCCAAAGATCACTGTGGCTGAGCTCCAGAGATGCAGTTGGGAGATGGGAGAAAGTTGTAGAAAGTCAACCATCACTGCAGCCCTCCACCAGTCGGGGCTTTATGGCAGAGTGGCCCGACGGAAGCCTCTCCTCAGTGCAAGACACATGAAAGCCCGCATGGAGTTTGCTAAAAAACACCTGAATAAGATTCTCTGGTCTGATGAGACCAAGATGGAACTTTTTGGCCTTAATTCTAAGCGGTATGTGTGGGGAAAACCAGGCACTGCTCATCACCTGTCCAATACAGTCCCAGCAGTGAAGCATGGTGGTGGCAGCATCATGCTGTGGGGGTGTTTTTCAGCTGCAGGGACAGGACGACTGGTTGCAATTGAGGGAAAGATGAATGCGGCCAAGTACAGGGATATCCTTCTCCAGAGTGCTCAGGACCTCAGGTTGGGCCGAAGGTTTACCTTCCAACAAGACAATGACCTTAAGCACACAGCTAAAATAATGAAGGAGTGGCTTCACAACAACTCTGTGACTGTTCTTGAATGGCCCAGCCAGAGCCCTGACTTAAACCCAATTGAGCATTTCTGGAGAGACCTAAAAATGGCTGTCCACCAACGTTTACCATCCAACCTGACAGAACTGGAGAGGATCTGCAAGGAGGAATGGCAGAGGATCCCCAAATCCAGGTGTGAAAAACTTGTTGCATCTTTCCCAAAAAGACTCATGGCTGTATTACATCAAAAGGGTGCTTCTACTAAATACTGAGCAAAGGGTCTGAATACTTAGGACCATGTGATATTTCAGTTTTTCTTTTTTAATAAATCTGCAAAAATGTCAACAATTCTGTGTTTTTCTGTCAATATGGGGTGCTGTGTGTACATTAATGAGGAAAAAAAATTAACTTAAATGATTTTAGCAAATGGCTGCAATATAACAAAGAGTGAAAAATTTAAGGGGGTCTGAATACTTTCCGTACCCACTGTATATATATGAGGAATATCAGACGAGTAGACGTGTGATATTGCTTTGATTACCTACGGCTGAATCACAGCCATGCTGATATATAGCCAAAAATGAAGATAGCAACACAAACATTTGTACAAGCAATCTGTGTTAACACGGTTCACTCTTCCTCAGGTCAGCAGTGACTCCGAGTTATATATTGAAGCCTATGAGGTGTGTGTGAGCTACAGAAACACAGAGAGGAGCGTGTGCATGAACATCACACAGACGCAGGTGGAACTAACCAGAGATGTCAATATGAGTGACATCACCGTGAGGGCCGTCATTCAGTCTGGCTTGTCTGAACCAGCCCACATCACTCTTCCTTTAGCATGTAGGGTTGACAAACCTCATGCTTCCTCATACTCTATATTAAAGTGTTTTCTGTGCACTGTTTATGTGGTGCCCTGTAGAACGTCAGATAACTGACTGTTGTTACTGATGCAGACAGCATGCCGGGGGAGAAGAGGATTATGGGTAATGAAAAGGGATTCCAGCTGACCTGGACGAGGGACTCAACCACCACGTGTGATTATATTGTAGAGTGGTGCATGCTGGGTATTGCACTCCCCTGCAACTTACAGTGGAGAAAAGTCCCAGCTAATCAGAGCTCCTTAAACCTGAACGCAGGTATAAAGTCTGTTTGTACATCATGCCATATTCTTACAAAACCACCACCATCAAAATAAAATAGTAACATTAATGTTTCTGGCTATGTGACAGCGTTGCATATAAAAGCTCTGTTCTAAAACACAGTGAGCCAGGCAGCATTCATGCGTTTTCATAAATATGCTTTTGCATTTTTTTAATTTGTCTTGCATGTTATACTTTTGTATTTTCATTACATGTGTCCTTTACAGATAAGGGAATCTGATAACAAACACATTGAAACAAGATTTAAATGCAACTTTTTCATCTAAAATGTATGTATATATATATATATATATATATATATATAAAGAATTATCTATTATTTAAGAGTAAATGACTGTAAAAGTGATATGGTAAAAACCTGTTAAAGACAAGTTCCCTTATGATATACAGTGGAAAAACTGTAATCACTCTAACTGGGCATTTCACGTAATATTACAGTAAAATACTGTTAAATTCACAGTTTTAAGTGGAAAAGAACCCATCTTTTAATTTACAGTGAAAATTTTTTATAATAACTTTATATGTTACTGAATTTTTTTACTGTGACTAAGTTTAATCCATAAAACCTAAAATGTTGCTTCTTACTGTAAAGTTCTACCATCCACAACTGCATTTTTTTTACTGTAAATGTCACTTTTTAATTTTTGAGTTTTAAGTCTTTTAAAATTAGGCTACCTCATATATGCAGGTTTTTCTAGACCATGTGAATTCTGGTTCTTCTTAAATAAAAAAACGTTTTGGAATTAATTGTTCAAATTCACTATAAAACTGCATTTTTACAGGAGACTTTAAAGCAGGAGTTCTATATGAATTTGAAATCCACGGGTGTAGCGCTGAGGGACATCGACGCCATGAGAAACAGATCGGATACTTAAAAGAACAGAGTAAGAGTGCACACACACTTTACATGCGACGCATCTATAGGACCTTACAGTAGAGCACAAAACAGCTGCCAATCCACATTATTTTTGATGTAAGAGTGACACGGCCATTTGTAACCAGAATGTGCAAGACTTCCAGAGTCATTCTCTCAAATTTAATTTACCTGTACAAAAGCAGCCCGTTATGCTGCAGACTTTATCATATTATTATTTTAATATATCATCATAATCATAAATGCACTGGTTTGTGGTGCAAATAGTTTTACTGTTCACTGCACTTTCTTATTCTTCTAATAATTTAATGAATGGGAAGTCTCACACATTTACAGAAAATTGCTCATTTCCGCTTTGCAAAATAAGGTGATGTTGCAATGGAAAATGCATCTAATTGAAGTCTTCAGTTTGAGAAATTGAAATCAACAATTTTCACATCTTAATTGTGAAATAGAACACATTAATATTATGAAATAATATTACCACATATATTATTTGTGTTGTTCAGAGCCCACGCAGCGCCCTACACTGGACTCTAGCCCAAATCTAACATGGTCATCTGTAAACCTGAAATGGAGTTTCAATGAGAAGGATCCGAGTCACGCTGGATTCATCACAGGATATGTGATTATAGTACAAGACCATTCAGAGGCCGGCGCCGATCTCAGTAAGTCTAAACTTATTTTCTAACAAAGTCCCCTTCAATATAGTCCCTTTTCAAATATTCCATATTTGCATTGCCTCCGCACAGCTATTTTGGGCATCCAAGACCAAGTCTACTTGAATAGGGAAAACCAGAAATCGCAAAAACTGCTTGCCAACCTCACATTTAAATATTTGGAATCAACAAGCCCCATAAATGTGGTTTCTTATTCTAAAATGGTATTTAAAAAAGCTTATATTTAATGTTGGACCAGCCAATGCACAAAATGACTTTACCAAATGGCAATTGGCTCATAAAAAAAAAAGTTTCAATAAACTTTCATTTCAAATTCTCAATATGATTTCAAATGCAGCTATTTTTGGACCGTATACTGCAGCAGTACAGCATGACTAAATAAATCTCACATTAAATCCCCCTCCTCTCTATATCACATGCATCCTTCCTGTTTGTTCTGGCAGGTTCCTTCAGACAGTCAGTGGACGATCCTCACAGCAAGTCCTGGACAGTCAGTGGTCTTGAGGAGGACCGGCCGTACACATTTCAGCTGGCAGCATGTACATCTGCAGGCTGCGGACCGGAAACCACCGCCATCTTCAGAACCAGAAAGAACTGTGAGCTCAGATACTGATTCAAACCAGATTCACACTAACAGAAAATAGTCTGAGTGGTGTTTTACAATAGAAGACTTCTATAGTAAGTACTTCTATTTTAAATGGACAGTTCGCCCAAAAATGAAAATCCTGTCATCATTTACTCACCCTCGCGTCATTCCAAACCTATACAAGTTTCTTTCTTTCGTTTGTTGAAGATAAAAGATATTTCTGAAAATGTTGGGGTCCGAACAACATTGGACTACACTTACTTTTATTCTATGGACAAATGGTTTAGAACTACAAGAGGTTAATTTGTTGTTTTTAGAGGAAGTCTCTCCTGTTCGCCAAGGCTGCATTTATTTGATTAAAAATACAGTAATATTGTGAAATATTACAATTTCAAATAAGTGTTTTCTATTATAATTTATTTTAAAATGTAATTTATTCCTGTGATGCAAAGCTGAATTTTCAGCATCATTCCTCCAGTCTTCAGTGTCACATGATCCTTCAGAAATCATTCTAATATGCTGATTTACTGCTCAAGAAACATTTCTGATTATTATTATCATCAGTGTTAAAACAGCTTAATATTTTCATGGAAACCATGATCGATTTTATTTCAGGATGCTTTGATAAAGTTCAAAAGTACAGCATTTATTAGAAATAGAAATCTTTTGTAATATCTTTTTGAAACTAAAATCTAATAATAAAACTAAACACTCAATCTGACTCGAAATCAATTCAATATTTGACAACTTTCCCACAAATGCAAAGTAGCCGGATTATGTGTGTGAATAGCTCTAATTCTCTAATAGTAATTCACAGTGAGTGGACAGGTCATTTCATAATGTTGAATTATAATGGGGATAATAATTCTGTCCACAGTGTTGTGAATAGCTCTATAGAAACGCTTTATTTCTATACAAAATCTTGTTTGCATATTCACAGTGAGTGGACAGGTCATTTCATAATGTTGAATTATAATGGGGATAATAATTCTGTCCACAGTGTACCTGCTGACGGTCAAGGTTCTGGTTCCTCTCGTGGTTTTGCTCGGTTGTTGTGTTTGTCTGTGGTCGTACAGAAACCTGTAAGTGTGCTGATGTACAGTATGTGCTGTGAGCTGATGGACTGTTCTTCTCACCTGTGGAGCACTGAAACTGATGACGTCTTTCTCCACCGTTTCCAGGATAAGAGGATTTCCAGAAGAATCGTTCGGCTTTCTGCACGTAAAAGCACTGGACCTGGATGAAGATCTTTATGAAGTAATTCATTACATTGATGCTGTACAATAATGTAACTGCATTGCCTCGATTTCTTTTCACAGCTAAATTGGGCAGGCTGGTCTTTTGGCTGGTTTTAGAGGGTCTCTGGGCAATCTGCAACATGTGATGCTGGGACAGTGTGTTATTTTAGTATAACTGAGATACTGTTATTGCTTTTTATTAATATTCTGAATTAGTTTTTACATTTTTCTTTTAAAGTTTTAGTTTGAATAATTTAGTAAAGTTTGTTTTTGTCATCTTAATTGGTTCTTTTTAGTCCATTTTTATTTCAGTTTTTGTTATTTTTGTACATGAAGTTAAAGGTTCCCTGAAATGCTTAGAAACACGCAGCGTTACTCTGTGTAATTATACGCTTTATGGGAAACACTTTGCATTATGTATCATGAACAATAAACAATTTAGAACTTGTAATGTGAAAAATGTACATTACCGTTCAAAAGTTTGGGATTTGTATTGTTTTTTTTTCAATATTATGCTCACAATTTTTTTTTTACCATAATATGTATATTTTATTGTACAGTTTTATTACAAATTTGCTACAAAATATTTACTTCTAATATTTATTTAATATTTTTTGGACAAAAATATAGTAAAAACAATAATATTATGAAATATAATTATAATTTCATAGAGCTGTTTTCTATTTGAATGTATTTTAAAGTGTAATGTATTCCTGTGATGGCAAAGCTGAATTTTCAGCATCATTACTCCAGTCTTCAGTGTCACATAATCCTTCAGAAATCATCATAATATGCTGATTTGCTGCTTAAGGAACATTTCTTATCAATATGGAAAACTGCTGCTTCATATTTTTGTGGAAACGGTGACTTCTGAGGAATAGAAAGTTTAAAAGCGCAGCATTTTTTTGAAATAGAAATCTTTTTAACCTTATTATTTTTGAATGCTAGTGTAGTGTAACATTACCAAGATTAATAAATGCTGTTTAATGCATATAATAATGCTGTTTAAGTATTGCTCACTGTTAGTCCAGAACAAACTCTCTTGGTAAAATGTTACTACTTCACATCAAAGTGCATTTGACTATATATTGTGTCAAAAAATAGTCTTTTTATAAATGTTTCTACATAAAGTCGGCACAGTCTAGTACTAATGCCTGCACATACTCATGCACTCAAACCACACAGATGCACTCATGAGCTTTCCTCTTTAATTATTTATCCCTTTGATAAGACTAAGATTTTTCCAGGGCTGAAAGTGCCCAAACACACACTGTACACACTTTACAAGGGAAACCACAACTCAGGCAAAAACACAAAACTAAAGTCCTTTAAATAACACCATCTCTTGCAATATCATCTTTAAGGAAAAATATAAATATATATTTTTGTCATCTCTTTTCTGTCTCACGCCACTATGGTACAGATCCATAGCCCAGGCCAAAGCCGTGGCACGCTCTCTTCAGCCAATCAGATCGCAGTCAGTTGAAGGCAGTAGCAGCAGCGCCGAGACAAATATCAACAAAAGGTCTAGCAGTTAATAAATAAGCAACTGGGTTTGTGTCAATTCAGCATGCAATCTACACATGGTTTCGGGAGAATAGGAAAGATGGATTCGATCAGTGCGTTGTGTGAACATCAGGAACATGTCGAGAACATTAAAAGACAATGCAAAAACTACAAGACTACTACGATCGGCAGAAGAACCGAATACCTCTGTGCCAGTGTTTTAACATGTCAGACGGTTCAGTGCAGGTTTGGTGCACGTTTAAGGGAACACATTGGGATTAAATGCATTTCAAAGGATAGCAATATCTAGACAACACGTCTAAGATAATACTTGAACTCTTTCTAAACCAGTGTTTTGGCAGCTTAAAGAAATATTCCAGGTTCGAAATAAGTTTCACTATCAAGGGCATTGGCGAATACTGTCGATTACAAGAGAAAATCATTTTGACTAGACCATCAGCTCGAATAGCAAACAAACAAACAAAATAATATATATATATATATTTTACAGAAGAAAAAAAAGTTAAGCCTGTTTTCAGGACTATTATTGTCATGAAAATTTAAAGGGGTCATATGATGCGATTTCAATTTTTCCTTTCTCTTTGGAGTGTTACAAGCTCTTGGTGCATAAAGAAGATCTGTAAAGTTGCAACGACTAAAGTCTCAAATCCAAAGAGATATTCTTTATAAAAGTTAAGAGTCAACCACGCCTACCTAATACGGCTCGTTCTAACACGCCCCCACATATCTACCTCACTATGTGGGAAGATTTGCATAACGCCGCCCAAATGTTCACGCAAAGAAAGGCGGCGTAACTTTTATTCTCGCTGTAGTATTGTTGACGTTGCAGCCATGTCGTGAAGACGCTGTGTGCTTCGTTGTGAAAGCGAAACTACTTTGTTTGGTCTTCCAAAAGAGGACGAAGCGGAGTCCAGCCCGGGGTCGTCACATGTGCTTGCTGCAAGCCCGCCGGACACTCCTTTGTCGAATCCACCGGCCGCGCCATTCTCAAACCCGCCCGCCTCTGCTCACTCTAGCCCGCCGTGTGTTTTGTTGTGAAAGCGAAACTACTTTGTTTGGCCTTCCAAAAGAGGACACGAATAGAAATCAGT